CTCTGTTGAGACCTCTAAAAAACTTAAGACATTGCTTCATAGACCCTCTCATCTAGACTAAAAGGGCTTCTAAGAATCTTAAGGGTGGTCCAACAGCAGTCACCTAGATAAAGGCCCAATGTAGACAGAGGTTTGTTTTTGAAAGAATTCTGGATGTTGCTTTGTGGTCAAGGAGTGAACTCCAATTAGAGTCATAGAAAACCCACACACTTTTAAAAAGAATTTTATTGATAAAAGCACCAGGAGCTTGGACTAAAGAAGGAGGAGACAGTTCAAAATGAAAAAAAGCCTCTGGGCCCCCAACTTTCTATGGGCAAGAAGCAGGCTGAGAGAGCTATTCAACTGTAAAGGGCAGGCAGTTTCTTATGAAAAAGGAAGATTGACTCAGAGGTCAGCTAGACCCCAGAGCAGGGAGCCAAGAACAGTGGATTAGGAAACTACTCCCAGGGAGAAGAACCAGGCCCTAATGGAGAACCAAATCCTTAGAGTCAGGATGACAGCGCTTGGCTGGCTTTCAGAATTGCTACAGACTAATGACTGCTATGTGCCTTCCATTTCCCCCTGCCAACCTTTGAAAAGAAGTATCTATTCCATTTATTCTATCCCTGTTTCAGCATTGTATGTTGTGTATTGTAACTTGTCTTTTTAGTTCATGGATCTCCAGATGAAGAGGAACAGCATCTGAAATGCCTCATTCACATCTGGGCCTAGTGTGTATGACTAGATCCTAGACCTTACAGCCAATGCTATACAGAATGGTAATTTGCGGGGGAGGAAGTAAGTGTCTTTTGCATGTCTGTGTGTGGGTGTGTATGTGTGAACAGTTGTGGCCAGAGGGTGGATTATGGTAGAGTGCTTCCAAATCTGACTGCCAATAATTCCTCTTATCCCAGCCACTCCTTCCATTAAGAAGTGAGACTCCTCTCCCCTTGGATCTGGGCTGGCCTTGTGACTTGCTTTGGCCAAGAGAATAGAATGAAAGTGATATCCTGGGACTTCTGAACCATGCCTTGGAGAGGGCTTGAAGCCTCTGCTTTCTTCCTCTTGGGATTCAGTCACTGTGCAAAGATGCTTGGGCTGGACCACTGAATGATGAACGGTCACACGAAGAGAGGGAGGCCCCCAGGCATTTCAGGTGCTCCAGCTGAGGTGCCAGACATGTGGGGAATGTCACAGACATTCCAGCCCTAGCCAAAGTCATAGCTGAACGTAACCACATGTCTGACCCAGCTGACATCATGGGGGAGCTGAAGAACTGTCCAGCTGTAACCTTCCCAAATTGCAAAATTGTGAGAAAATAAATGGTGGTTGTTCTTTTAAGCCACCAAGTTTACAGTGGTTTGTTATGCAGCAATAGATAATTGAAACAGTTATCAAATACTAGGGTATTTTCTACAGCTTTAACTTTACTCCTAGACTGTGAAGAGGTTGCAACAGTGTCAGACAAAGAAGCCAAGTTTTCAAGGAGACTAAATTCCGTAAAGGCTGGACCCTCTATGCTATAGTCATTGCTCTGTCCACAGAGCTTAGCATTATTAGTACTGGCACATAAGACTCCCACATATTTGTTGATTGAATCATTAAATGACTAAATGGAGTTAAGACCCTATACCATCAACACAGACAAAAAAGCTACCTTAAATAGAGTTTTTTTAAAATTTTTTAATTTTTATTTATTTGGCTGTGTCAGGTCTTAGTTGCGGCATGTGGGATCTTCATTGTGGCATGTGGGATCTTTCGTTGTGGTGTGGGCTCTTTGTTGTGGCACACAGGCTTCTCTCTAGTTGTGGCGGGTGGGCTCCAGAGTGCACAGGCTCAGTAGTTGTGGTGTGTGGGCTTAGTTGCTCCCTGGCATGTAGGATTTTAGTTCTCCAGCCAGGGATCGAACCTGCGTCCCCTGCATTGGCAGGCGGATTCTCAACCACTAGACCACCAGGGAAGTCCCTTAGATAGAGTTTTAACCATGCATTTTCTCTTTCAAAAAGGTTTTTTGTTGCTTTTTGTTACCAGAAAAAGTGATACCTCAGAAGACAGAAGGATGTTCTGAAGGGAAAGATTTGTAGGAGTGAGGCAATAGTTACCCTTGACTCCTTCTCAGTGTCCCTTCTATACCTGGACCAATGAGGGCTACTCTGTGAAGCACCTGGTAAATGCCCCAATATCTGCTGGTAACATAAAAATTATTATCTTTTTCTATTATCGGAAGAGCTAAAAGGCAAGAAATGTGTTCCTAGGGCTAGAGTTAGTATTAAGGGGACCAGAGTGGAATATCCAATAGCCAGTGTTAGATCGGAAACTAAAACAATCTAAGCTGTCTTGTCATGTTAGGTCTTTCTTTTCTATCACTCTCTAGTCCAAGTCACAATTTCTAAATGCCACTTGGACATAGTGAGTGCCTAGTCTGCTCTGTGGTTCTCCCAGCCCAGCCCTTATTTCTCTTTGTGTGATATTTCATACAGCACACCTCTCTACTGAGATGTGAAAGGAGACACAAGTGCCATCTGAAATAGCTCCAGGAGATTAGGGCATGAAGAACTTGTAGGCAACAATGGAAAATTCTCTTTTAGGATGTGGTTGCTTGTATGATCCATACTGGTACCTTCCGGAGAAATGTTGTAAGCAAAAGGTCTTTATTTAAAACAACAGGAATATTTGTAATTAGGATAACTGAAATACGGGAAAAGTCTTCAGACCGTTGGAAGAATGGGATGGTTTAAGTTAAAATATATAATTATTATATACTTTTTACTCTGTATTATTTAGAAAACAGTGGTTAAGCAGATAAAAATAGAGAAGATTACTTAAAAATTGAAGCCATTGCTTTAGATCTCTATTTGAAAGGTCAGTGTGTGGGAGATGAGAAAGGCACTATAGCAATCAGTGTTCAACAAAAGACATTTTAGCAGCAGGACCTACAAAGAGCACATCAACTATTTATATCATCCCCATTGAGTTGCTGGTCATTTCACTTATCAAAGAAAATAAGAAAGGAATTTTCTTTAGATATTCTCTGGATGCAGTAGCAATACAGTTTTGGAATCAGATGTTAGAAACTATAATTAAAGCTGGTTTTTCCTGTTCACTAATTATTCTGTATGGTTAGTCTCCCTGAAGCTTTATATAATTCTCCCTTTGTTACCAGCTTCTGTTTCTCCCCAGGGCAGTCTGAATCCAGACAGGTAAATAACTGAAGTGTTTAGAAACCAATGTATTGTAATATCTGTACAGCCAAGCAGATATTTGCAACTGAACTTGAAAAAAATTTTTAAAAAACTTTATGTACATTAGATAGTGTCAGCTATTTAAAGGTTTCAGCTCTACCACCTGCATATGGAGACTTCTTGGGTAGGAGGACAAAGTGAAGAAAAACAAAAATTAAAAAAGGATTTCCTTCAGGAACCCACTTAACACTGGGAAGGGGAGGAAATTTTTTACTCAGCAACTTCTAATAACCACCTGGTATTGCTGTCAGGCTGGTCAAATATCTGCCAACATTGGTGGTCCTTTCACTCACCATGGAGATAAGTAGAGGGACCTGATGTTTAGAGTAGCAGCAAAACTCATTTTCCAGTTTCTTCTTTCAGCAGATGGAAGTGCTTGTGGGCCAGTCTCATATTCCAGCATGTTAGTACTGGTGATGCACACCCTCTCTGCTCCAGAATAACTCTGTGCCACAGGAATTGAAAAGGATTCTCTCTCCTCAGGCCTAACACCAAAACACCAACAGGGCAGGAATGAATCCGCTTTCCTCCTAGGAAGTGGATTTCAGAACGTCTCAGATACTGTGAGACTAATCTTCACATGGAATGGGGGGAGAGGGGTGGGCAAAGTAGGGCAGTGCTAATAACAGGAACTCTGGGGACAAGATCAGCAACTGGAAAAACAAACGTGGGACATTTTACCCCTCCCTAATCACTTGCCTTCATTTAACTTTATCTTCATTTTCCCTTTCCTCACCAAGCAGTAGTTGATAATCAATTGAGCGTAGCTCTCAGGTTCTTGCCATGCAATCTAGTGGAACACCTAGAAATCAGGGACTTATCCTTGGTTATTTATAAAATAAAGAAATCTCTAGGGCTTCCCTGGTGGCGCAGTGGCTGAGAATCCGCCTGCCAGTGCAGGGGACATGGGTTCAAGCCCTGGTCTGGGAAGATCTCACATGCCACGGAGCAACTAAGCCCGTGTGCCACAACTCCTGAGCCTGCGCTCTGGAGCCAGCGAGCCACAACTACTGAAGCCCGTGCCACAATGAGAAGCCCGTGCACTGCAACGAAGAGTAGCCCCTGCTCGCAGCAACTAGAGAAAGCCCATGACCCAACACAGCCAAAAATAAATAAATAAATACATTTATTTAAAAAAAAAAATCTCTAGCTTATCTAGGCTGTGTGGTCAGGACTTTCATCTTTGGAAACCAAAGGGAGGCCTTTCTCCTACTCTTTCTAGGTTGCTCTCCATTTCTTTTTCCACTTGTGGCCCCTCCTTCCCCCAAGCTGACCAGGACCATGCACAAAACCAGGCTCCAATAAATATCAAGACTGAAGATTCAGCAGGTGGCTAATAGCCTGCAGGGCTATCTTAAAAGGATGTTGCATACAAATTCAAAGTTTTATGAAGCCTCAGAGATCTCTAAGAACAGTGTAAATATCCCTGGTTTAATTAGTAAGTAGTCCTGGAGTTAGGTAATGGTCTGTGGCTTCTACGGTACCTCTCTTGAGGTTTCTAGTCTTCAGGGGCTGCCTACAACTATGATGTGTTCTTTCTCATACACTGAATAAATCCTCTTTTAGACCTTCCTAGGCATCAATTCACAATAACTGCAACACACATGCAAATTGATCCCATTCTCTCAGATCTAAGAAACGACCAGCGCCTCAGTCTAGGTATCAACTTAAATACTTTTGGACTCAAATTCTCCTTGAGTTCTACTTCCCAGGGGAAAGAAAGAATTCCTACAATGGTACTGATGCCCACTCTCTACAAGCAGACGGTGGACCACTCACTTTGCAGCCGATCGATGCCAGGGTAAATGTGCTCTAATTTTCAGCATTTCCGAACCAGATCTTTCGCGGTTTAGGTCAAACAATCCGAGCTCTAAGCAGACTTGACAAGTTTGTTCTGGGCTGAAGGCCATGGACTAGGTTCTCCGACCAGATAAGTCACTAGGCTGAGTCTACAGTAGGTGGGGCGCGCTCACCAGCTCAGTAGTGACTGAAAGTTTGTCGCAACATCGTTGAATTCAATCACCGGGCTGCTGCAGTAGATACCCTTTGCCCCGCGAGTACAGCACCAGAAAGGTTCGCCCTAGGGGGCAGGGCACTAGCAAGGAAGATGCGCCAGACCCCCGGGGCCCAGCCCCTTCTCCCACGGTTTGGAAGGCGCAGTGGTAGCGGATCCAGAGCTCGGAGTTTCAGGTCTCCGTCCTCTAGCTTGCTCTGTGGGTAGCAGGAAAGGGTGCGACCAGCTTGGGAACTCTTGCTCCGAGATCCGCAAGAATCAGCGGCGGCAGCCAAGGTGAGAGGAGGCGGGGGCACGTGCTTGGATGTGGGTGCTTGTGTAACCAGCTCCTCAGGCGCCAGCACCGACAGCGCTCCGGCGGGAGGATCGTCTGAGCCTATTCTTCTGCCGAAACCGGGTAGGCTCTGGGGTCCAGCTACCCGTACATGGCGGGAGCACCCTGGGCAAAGGAAGCGAAGCACTTGCCTCTAGAGCTATCAAATGGGAGTGGGAATTTGGAAAGTTCCCCAACTAGGAACACACGTGACCTCCTCCTGAAAGTAGTTCCGACTGTGGCCCGTGTATCCCTCCACCTCCTTTTGAACCCTCCTAGGTCTCCTCGGCTCCGCCCACTCGCTGGGGCTGCAGTTTCCTACCGTCCCGTAATTCATACTCCCGCCCTGCAACCCCGGTCTCTAGCGTGCACTGACCCGCTAGGGGAGCGCGGAACCTGGCCCCGGGGCGATCCACCCAGCCGGGTTTTCACTGCGGCCCAAATGGGGCGGGGCGAGGAGCCGCTAAGGGTCGAGCTTGAGTTCGGAGCGGTGAACCCAACTGGAACCCCGAGGGGAGAGATGCTCGGCTCTCCGGGGGAAATGCAGGGGGCTGCAGCGTGCATCCCATCCTCGGGGATCCGCTTTCAGTTCACCTGGACAGTTGCCCTTTGGGATCTAGAAATTCAGGGGCGATGTGCTCACACTCAGCGCGCTCCGCTGGGAGCTTTCATTTTTAGGGCAAATGAACCGAGTGCCGGGGAAGCGGGAGGTGGGGCGGTGAAAGGGAGCCGGATGAGGTGATACACACTGGAGACACAATAGGGGGTTATTCTTTGTACTAAGACTGACACCTTGAGGACACGGGTGGGGATGGGGGGAGAGGTGGGATTTCTCAGCAAGGGCTGCTGCAGTCACATCCCTGCGAACGATCGTGATCCGACATCCGTGCATAAGGAGAAGGAGGCTGCAGGCCGTGCCGGGGAAATCTGGAGGTGGAGGCAGGGGGAGGGGTGTCCTCGCTGCAGGGATCGTCCCTGCGTTTTCCTGTACCCTGACCATAGCAGTCACCTGGTCTTTTCCACCTGTGCACAGGTAACCTCAGACTCAAGTCAGTGACACTGCTCAACGAACCGGCCACAGCCTTCACCTTCGCTCCCCCTCTTCCCCTCGCAACAGCCTACTCTGCCTGTGGCTGGGTTTTTCGGCCGTGGCTCAGCTCGTTCCCCCCACCCTGGGCTGCTGCAGAAGCACCCGCAGCAAGTGCAGCTACAGGCGGGCGCCTCGAAACAAGCCGGAGCGAGCTCCAGGCAGTCATACTGGGCATGCTCAGTGCGCCTGCCCGTTAGGGACTCGGCGCTCGCACCCGGAGCTGCTGCTTCTGCCCCCTCCCTACAGCCCCTGCTCTGCCCTTCCCTCCGCCGGCGCGGTCCGTCCGCCTCCCGCCTCCCCTCGGGCTCCGAGGCGCCTGGGCTCCCGGCGCGGCGGCGCAGGGCGCGGGCAGGCCGGCGGGCGGTGATGTGGCGGGACTCTTTGTGCACTGCGGCAGGATACACGTTCGGGGGCTGGGACGCGGCTGCGCTCAGTTCTCTCCTCTCGGAAGCTGCAGCCATGATGGAAGTTTGAGAGTTGAGCCGCTGTGAGGCGAGGCCGGGCTCAGGCGAAGGAGATGAGAGACGGCGGCGGCCGCGGCCCAGAGCCCCTCTCAGCGCCTGTGAGCAGCCGCGGGGGCAGCGCCCTCGGGGAGCCGGCCGGCCGGCGGCGGCGGCAGCGGCGGCGTTTCTCGCCTCCTCTTCGTCTTCTTTTCTAACCGTGCAGCCTCTTCCTCGGCTTCTCCTGAAAGGGAAGGTGGAAGCTGTGGACTCGGGCGGGAGCCGGCTGAGGCGCGGCGGCTGCACCTCCCGCTCCTGGAGCGGGGGGGAGAAGCGGCGGCGGCGGCGGCGGCGGCGGCTGCAGCTCCGGGGAGGGTGTCGGAGTCGCCTGTCACCATTTCCAGGGCTGGGAACGCCGGAGAGTTGGTCTCTCCCCTTCTACTGCCTCCAACACGGCGGCGGCGGCGGCGGCGGCACATCCAGGGACCCGGGCCGGTTTTAAACCTCCCCTCCGCCGCCGCCGCACCCCTCCTGGCCCGGGCTCCGGAGGCCGCCGGAGGAGGCAGCCGTTGCGAGGATTATTCTTCTCCCCATTCCGCTGCCGCCGCTGCCAGACCTCTGGCTGCTGAGGAGAAGCAGGCCCAGTCGCTGCAACCATCCAGCAGCCGCCGCAGCAGCCATTACCCGGCTGCTGTCCAGAACCAAGCGGCAGCAGAGCGAGGGGCATCAGCCACCGCCAAGTCCAGAGCCATTTCCATCCTGCAGAAGAAGCCCCGCCACCAGCAGCTTCTGCCATCTCTCTCCTCCTTTTTCTTCAGCCACAGGCTCCCAGACATGACAGCCATCATCAAAGAGATCGTTAGCAGAAACAAAAGGAGATATCAAGAGGATGGATTCGACTTAGACTTGACCTGTATCCATTTCTGTGGCTGCCGCTCCTCTTTGCCTTTCTGTCACTCTCTCTTATAACGTGGGAGTAGACGGATGCGAAAAATGTCCATAGTTTGGGTGACTATGACATTTAACCCTGGTCGGATTTCTAGATCATGTATATTATGTGCCTCTTTTGAATGCATTCAACCTAGGGTGTGTTCGGCTATTCGGAACTCTTGCCTGGTTGCAAGTGTCAAGGCACTGATGGGTTTCTTAGTCTGTCTGTGGGGACTCTCCCTAAGGGCTATTGTCCGTTAATAAAGAATACAGTACACTGCTAGTGGATTAGTGAGCTCGGTAATCCGGTCTGCTAAATGAACAGAAAAGTAGATGCTTTGAGGTTGAGCATATTTCGATTAAATCTTGGCTTTAGGCCCTAGATCAAGGGTATAGATCAGATTAAAATGAAAATTAGTGTTGCGCGTACGCATATTGCATCAGAATCTTGCAGTGATTGCTTTTAGTTTCCTGAGTTGCATTGATAGATTCTTTTAAAATGTGAGTTGTGAACCGAACTGATTTGCATAACTTTAGAGAGAGAATCATTTTAGCATATATGGTGCTCATTTGAAGGCAAAAGTAGGTTTGTATGTTGAAACTAAGTTAATTACAACTTTGAATCGCATTTAGAAGTTTTGTAGCTTGAAATCAATAGTACCGTGATACATCTCAAAGGCGCTCTTACTAGATCTTTGTTAAATTTGCTTTTTTTGTCTCGTGTTGGGCTGATGTGGGATAGGGCATGAAATTTGCAGTTCAGTAGCACTGTATATTCAGTGCTCTTGTGACACATAATAGAATGGAGATTGAGTGGTTTTTGATCCCAGATGATAATGTTGTGTAGGTTCAAGGGTATTGTGTGTAGCAAATGGTGATTGCAGAGATTAAACTTCAGTTTCACTTGAAATTTAAGTATTATTGTGATACCAGAATTGACACTCACCTTATTTAGGTTTCAGGTCCTGTGACACCTTTGGGTATCCATTAACTTTACTCTGGCTTGTGTAGAATATCAGTATAAGTATAATTTACCAGCTAATAACCAGAAATGCTGGCCAGAGTGCATCACTCCAGCTTCGGATTGTAGGTGTGTTCGCTTTTTTCATATGGGGTATTAAATTTACTGAGTCAGCTTGTTGGATAAGACAGAAACCCAAGAGTTTCAGTGGTATATAATTGGTTGTCTAAAAGTTAGGCCTTTATATTTCAAAAGATAGTGGTTATCGAAAGGCATGAGTCTTTGCAGTTTCAGGTATAATAAACCGGTTTTGATCAAGGATGGCGATAGAGCCCTCCTTTTTTGCAGAATGGAAAGTATCGTAGGAATTGAGACTCACTGGTAGGCCAGTGTAAGGCATGAAGAACAGGATTAAGTTATTGGTCTGAGGAGACTGAAGCATTTTATTAAGGCCTCTATTAAGATAAAAAATTTGGTGCTGTGAATTGTAGCAGTGGACAATACTTACTTAAAACTACATAATTGCGTAAGTGTTAATAGCCTTAATAAAAATGGTTTCTTAGCAAGTATCAGTAAACATTTTGCCTAAAGGTAGAGTGACACTAAAGTGTCTATACGTCCAGGTAAAAACCGTGGGGAAGATTTTTTTGAAGAAAATGTTACATATCTGAAGAGGTTTTATTCCTTTGGATTATGTATCCACACATAAATGTGCACAGCTAATTTTGCCCCAGTTTTTGATATGAAATGAAGATAAAAGTTACTGAAGAAGTAGCTTTACAACACACACAACGTAAGTTTTCTGTTAGGTTAAAAAATGATACTTTAAAAGAATATTTGGAAAGTTTGGAGTTGCATTAATTGAAAAACTTTACTAAAGCTGAACTTGACCCGCTTGCCCAGAAGATAATTAATTATGAAAAAACTCTTCTGATTTGTAACCTATTTCAAAAATAGTCTACTATTGGTGTGACTTGACAGTCATCTAGATGTATAGAAATAAATTAATTAAATTTTTAAATTTTTAAAATAAACCCCCATTCAAAAAATTTTCTAGAATGCTGTTTGTTGGGCAGATTGCTTTTAGTATTCAGAATATGTTTATGCTATTTTTGCTTTACACATTTGATTTAAAATTATCAGAGTTATAAGACTAACATTCTACCGGGTTCTTATATATGAGCAGTGAGGTGATTAGTCATTTCTCCTTTGATTTCAGAGTGTGTGTGCCTCTATGTATGAAATTTATGTGACTTACAACTTTCTCTAAAACTGTCCTTTTAGTTATGGTATGCATAGAAAGCATTATCGTATATTGCATCAAATGACTAATAACACTTAATTTCTAGAGTTGTGGTTTTATTGAGCCAAATGTTGATGTGAAAAAAAAATCACTTAGGGAAGTCAGTAAAGGGTTTACTTTTTTGGTAGTTGCACTTCCAATAATTTTGAAATACCAAAGCACTTTAGTTTGCTTGGTTTCACTTTAGTGTTTTGTATTTACTGTGGTGGGGGGAAAATTAAAATGGTCATTGAAGGCTTTGTCTCTAGCAGGTTGTAGTATCTCTCTAGCAGGTTGTATGTAGTATCTATTTCAACAGCTAACCTGTTCAAAGTTAAATTCTTTTATGAAAGTAGTGATTGGAGTATTTTTATAAAGATCAATAATGAAGTGATTTCCTCAGAGGAAAATTGAGGACCATACTTTACTTAATTTTTTTTGCAGAATTGAATTATTCTAAAAATAGTTTGTTGGTGGGGTTTTATCCTTAATGTTAGTCTGGAAAGTAGTATTAAACATGAGACTATAAAAAATTCATTGTCTTTAGATTTCATGGAAACTTTAGGCTTCTGTTTTATTTTAATGGATAAGTTTGATAAGTTTGCATCTTCATAGGGAATACTTTTTAATTCGTAGAGAGTACAGGGGCTATTGAAGTTAGCTGTATTATCTTTTAAGATTAGTGATTACTGAAATGACTGTATTGTGAGGTTTTTTTTGAAAAA